TTAAAACTGTTAATAATATTCCCTTTTCCTCTATTTTAGGTGGACTTCCTTGCAACATATTGGATCCCTTATATACTTTATAAAGAAATGACAAATGCATTTGAGTTATTTTTGAATTAATGTTTGGAAAATACACATTTTGAAATCCAGATGGTTCATGATATGACTATTTACTTATATATTTTTCTGGGAAGTATAATAGTGTCAGTTCGGTGACTTCCATTTTATTACTCTTAGTTTTCAAAATTTTTCACTATTAATATAAGAATTAATAGTTGCAAAATAAAAATAATATAGAAACACATTGAAGAAAAACTGAATCCTCAATCCCTTCTAATTTCTTCATCTCTCCAGTGTACTCTGTTAACAAATTGGTTTGTATGTTCCCATTTTTTTCTGGAATTTGCTACAAATAATGCTCCATGAAACTGCATTACATATATATGTCTGTGAATATATTTGACTATTTCTATTAGGTAGAAATCTAGAAGAGAAACTGCTATATTAAGTAGAATACAACTTTTAAGTCTTGTAATATAAATAAATATTTATCTTCTACAAATGCTGTCAACAAGCATTCATACTTACAGTGCATGCGTGTCTATCTTTCCACTTACTAATATTTTACATTATCAATTTTTAAATAGGCACAAATGTTCTTTTATTGTTGTTTTAACTAATAATTTCACTCTACCTGTGAGACAGAGCATTTTTCTGTTGCTTTTTGGTTACTTGATTTTCTGTGAATGGCTGTTTCATTTTCTTTATGTATTGAGTTTTACATTTGTTTGCTTTCTTCCTCTTTTAGTGATTACAGAAAGTGCTCTTTGTCTTAGTATCCATTCTCACACATTAAAAATTTTTTTTGTGTGTATTCAAGGTCTGACTGGAAGAGTCCAGCCATTGTTAACATGATGAGAACAATTTGCATGACATCAATGTGACCTCATGGCCAAGGAGAGTGGACTGGGATGTATGTGTATGAACAATGGTGACTTCATTGTACTAGTCAGTGGGGACAGTAGATGCCATTGAGTGAGCATGTGTACTGTGTGGACGTTACATTCACAATGGCTGAGCGAGTAGAGCAACTCAAATCTGCATCCAATTTTGCGTTAAGCTCAAGCATTCCTCCATGGAAATTATTCGGATGACTCAGAAGGCCACTGCTATGGGCAACTGGTGATTGGCAGCTTCATCACAACAATGCGAGTCACAGGTATGCATTATATCTCACGCAGGCTTGGTTTTTTTTTTCAAAACATCAAATCACCCAGGTGAGTCAGCCCTCCTACAGCCCAAATTTGGTGCCCTGTGACTTCTGGCTCCTCCTAAAACTAAAACCACCTTTGAAAGGGGAGGGATTTCAGACCATTGATGAGATTCAGGAAAATACACTGGGGCAACTGGTAGCAATTGGGAGACCTGTGTGAGGTCCCAAGGTATCTGCTTTGAAGGGGACTGAGGTGTCATTGTCCTGTGTACAATGTTTCTTGTATCATCTTCAGTAAAGTCTCTAATTTTCATAGTACATGGCTGGATGCATTCTGAACAGACCTTGTACATTAGAAAACTCTTTTGGAGTGTAGATCATTTTGTCAGAGATCACATGTTTAAGGGCCTGCTTGGCCTGGAGTCTCCTTATAGACATAGAAGCAAAGGGAAACACTGGGCGGGGAGAACCAGTGTTGCCTTGCATGGCTTCTGATTCAGGGAGGTCATTACAGTTTTCTCAAGGCAGTGCAGGGTTGATCCCCTCCAACAGGGGTGGAGAGGCAGGTATCAGTGGGGGTGGAAAAGTTGCTACCATTAGGGCTGGAGAGGTCATTGCTACTGGGAGTGAGGAGGCTTCTTCTACTGGCCAAAGGACTTATGTGCACAATGTTTCCAGCTTCACCAGGATATTTCCTACTTATCCCCATTCCATCCTACAAAATCTCATTGTCTCTCAATCAGTGACCTCACTTTAACAGTAGCCCCCTACCCCTGAGGCTGGGAGTTCCATTTGTGTTGTGATTCAGCTAGAACAGGATGAGATGATACATTTGATTTTCAGCAACCTCTGCACTGTAGCTGTAAGAGATAAGGGTCTCCTTCAAGGAGCATATAGAGGATTTCAGGTTATTTATTATGGTGCTCCAATGACTACAATATTATGTAGTCCCACCAACAGTGCACAAAGATTTCAATTTTAATACTTACTATTTTCTGTTTTCTTTGGTTGTTTATTTTAATATTAACTGTCCCGATGTATATGAAGAACATAGCTGAAATCAGTCAAAGAATAAGTTGGGAAGCACTTTTTCTTTTAAAATTTTTTGGAATAATTTGTATTGAATTTATAATATTTCTTTCTTTAATGCCCAGTAGAATTCTCAGTGAAGCTGTCTGGCCTTGGAGTTTATTTGTTTTGTTTTTGTGCAGCAATGTTTAGCTATAATATCAATTTCTTTAAAAGACAGAGGCTTATTCAGGTTATTTATTTTTTCTTGAGTGAGACTTGTGACTTCTAAAAATTTGCTCATTTCATCTATGTCATCAAATTTATTGTATAAAATTGTTGAAAATATTACCTTATCATTTTTGATATCTGCAGAGTCTTTAGTGAATTAACTTTATTCTTGATTTTAATAATATGTGTCTTCTATTTTTCATGATCAGTCTAACAATTTTATTAACCTTATCAAATAATCATCTTACTAAGCTCTTTTAAATCTACTTTGGTAGCTATATCCACTTAATATTAATCCCTACATATTTCTCTAATTTATTCTTACAAAATAAGTTGAAAAACAGCTTTCATTCCATATAATAAAAATTTGAATATCAAGAATGAGAACCACCATTAATGTAGGTGTTCCTTCTACAAGATTTTGAAACTATGGTCACTTCTGATTAAACATCTTAAGTGATAATGAAGTCATTATTTTTTACATCTTTTGATAACTTAAAATTTTGAAAGGTCTTTTATTTCTGCATTGCAGCTTCTACCAAAATGTCATTAAAATAGATTATTGTTAAACAGAAGAGTCTATTTTTGCATTTCTTGAATAAAACATAACACCACTGAATATTATTTCATAATTGTCTAAGATAGAATGTGTGACAAGGAAATAGAGTAAAAATGGAACGTATTAGAAGAAATGACCTTACTTTTTATTATAGCTGCTTCTGCCGAGAGCTTTAATGAACTAAAGACTCTCCTTTTGCTTTAGAAGCTAAGGTAAATAGTCCATTGCATATATGTGCCACATCTTCTATATCCAATCATCTACCAAAAAACAGTTCAGTTATTTCCTTGTCTTGGTCATAAGAAAAGATGAAATACTGTTGCCATTTGCAACAATGTGGATGAGTCTTGGGAATATCATACTAAGAGAAATAAGTCAGACAGAAAAAATCAAGGATCATGTGATTTCACTCATTTGTGGGATATAAAACTTAAAGTAACAGATAGGCAAACAGACAAGTAAAAACACATAGGCCCAGACAGCAGTAAGGTGGTTATCAGAGGGAAGAGGGGTGTGGATGCAGTGAAGTGGGTCAAATATACAGTGACGGAAAAAGACTTTGACTTTGGTTGGTGATCATCACCCAATGCAACATATAAATGATGTGTCATAGAATTGTACATTTGAAACCTCTATAATTTTATTAACCAGTGACACCCCAATAAATTTAATTTAATTTAATTAAAAATAATTTTACAAAGAAGCTAAGGTAAGAAAAATGCCAACAATGGCAGCAATTGGAGAAGGCAAATCAAAGCCTAAATCTTATTACTAAAGGCAATATTGTAACAGAAATGTTTCCCAAATAATTGGAGGCTTAATGTACCAATATGTTAGTTATTGAACAAAATTTATGCATGGAAATATTCTAAAGATCAGAAATAAAACAAACTATTTCTCTTCATCTGTTCCACTCCTTACTCACATAAGTTCATGTTCACTTCCAAATTCAATCATTAGTCCCTGTTTCTTACATTCTATTATAACTAAGAATTTAAGACTTATAATTTCTCTACACTCAACTTTTATCCATTTTAAAATTTAAAAAACAGATGAAAATAATATATAAGAAATACAGAATAGAGAAAATAATTAAAAAACTATTTTTTCTTGGACTTTGTTTTGGAAAATTATTTCCAGATTTTATGCACTCTGCCAGCTTTATTATAAAGTTCACACTAATTTAGCTCTATCTTGCAGTCACCTGCTTTGTTTTCTTTACCTATGTTCACATGAGCTTCTCTATATTTCTCTGTCTCTTTCATTTTGTTTACTTACTCATTTAGTTAATCTTGGGGTTAAATCCTGGTTTCAACTACCCTGTTCTTCTTTCGTTTGATGCCATTTTAATTTTTCTTTTCTTTGATACTGGCTAGGCTTGGTGTAAAAATTTAGAAACATGAATGACAGTTTTGTGGGATCTTAAAGAAAAGGGAAAAGTTGAAGTAGAGAAGAGGTATAAGAAATGTCATAAGAAGCACTAAAAATACATGGATACTTTGGGTGCAAAGGGGTGTGTATGTTTTAAGGATAGGAAAGAGTTTTGAGGGAAATGTACTTATAATCAGCCAATTAATAATGACTTTATACTTTACTCAAAATAGAAAAATTAAAAAAATTTGTAGATATATGACAATAATAGTTTCTATGTTTACTTGCTGTAGATACTGTTGATAAAAACTGAAAAGCCATATGGTTTACTAGATTTTCTAGACTGTATTATATGTGTTTTAATTATGACAAAACTGCAAGCTTATTTTAAAAGGCCCAAGAACAAAAACTGCTAATAATTGCTTTTCATTGGTGGTTTACCCAGTTTTTTAGGGATACATATATATCAGTTGATCTGTTAATATTAGACAATAATAAACATGAGTCTGTAAAACTTTGAAAAAGAGCAGAGACAACACATTACTATAATATATGCTAATATTCAGTGTCAATTTTCCACTTGGTTCCTAACATATAAAATGTTATTAAATATGACAGAGTCTGATCCTATAGCCCAGTCTCCTCAACAGACTCCATTTGGAAGTATTGTTGATGGTGCTAAAGAGGATGGGGCGTCCATAGCCAGTCGCTTCACTGACGCTGCTTCAGAGGAAGACAAAGTACACTGCGGTCAACTCTTAACTCTCCACACCACTGGATGGTATCTCTGCACTGGGAGGTTGAAAACCATACTTATTCACTCACTAGAATACACATTCAAAGTAGATTTACTGTCTTAATTGTATTTTACCAAAGAAGTATATATTATTTTGTAGCAAAAAATACATTTATCACATACACACTTTGGATTTGGGAGTTTGACATGGAGGCATAGATTGAGATGTACAGCAGCCAAGTTGAGTAAATTATACCTGCGAGCCTGGAAGGGCATAGCTCATGGGCACATCTAAAAGCTAACATTGGCCTTTGAGAATTCTCCTATGACATGGAGAATTTCTGGAATGTTTTTGTCATTTTTTATGCCAGGACCCTTCTTCCTGAAAGCCATCAGTTAGATCCTAGCAAAGAAACAAAATAAGCCAAAGACAAACCTACCAAAAAAAAAATCTGAAGAATCTCAAACTTTTACTTAGAAGACAAAAGAAAGATGATTTTGCTTTGAGAGCGATGAGGTAAGGAACCTCAAACCATGGAAGAGAGCTTTTGAAAAGACTTCAAACAGTGAAGCTGACATGGAAGTGGGTTTCTGTTACTACTCTATATTTCTAAGGAGATTTTTAAAGCAAAGCATTGGGGGCCTTTTCAGTGCACAGATCAATGTGATTGATATGAAAACAAACCTCCTTTAGTTTCCATGTAACTCCTACCGCTAGGATGAAATTGTGCATAAAACTTCTTATTCAATTAAATGAATAATACATTTTAAAAAAATGCTCTGACACTTTTCGCTATAACTAATGGAACAGATGATTTGACTCTGATGGTTTAAAAGAACCATGTTCAAACTCATTCAATATTTTAAGCCTATCTTTTTCTTTCGGTGTTACTTTTTGTTATTTAAAGAGAAAGTCTGTTTCTTCAATTTAAAGAGGACATGAGAAATAAGTAGAAATCTGTCATTATTCAAATCAGTCAGCCCAAAATTATATGTTTTTATATTTACTTCAGTCTATCAAGAAACCTAGCTATCCTTAGGCTGTTTGTTAAAAATATAGGCCAAGTGCTGGAAGCAACCTAAGTGCCTGTCAGTAAATGAGTGGATACACAACTATGGTACATTTACACAATGGAATACTTACACAGCAGAAAGAAAGAAGGAACTCCTACCCTTCATGACAACATGAATGGAACTGGAGAGCATTATGCTAAGTGAAATAAGCCAGGGGGTGACAGACAAATACCATATGATCTCATCTATTAGTGGAGCCTAACCAACAAAACAAACAGGCAAACAAAATATATCCAGAGACATTGAAATAAAGAACAAACTGACAGTAACCAGAGGGGAGGGGAGAGAGAGATAATAGGGAAAAATAGGGGAAGGGTTGTCAAGGAACATGTATAAAGGACACATAGACAAAGCCAAAGGAGGTAGGTTCAAGGGTGGGAGGCAGGGATGGTGAGGCTGGGACAAGTGGTTGGGGGAAAATGGAGAAAACTATACTTGAATAACAATAAAAAATAAAAAATAGATATAGACCAATGTTTATGCACATTTTGATATTTAGCAGTTCTTTTAATATATAACAATTGGGGATCTACCTTCATTCTATAAAAAGAAAAGAAGTTATGAATCATGCCAGGTAGACTATGAATATTTCCCTTTTGATTTTTATAATTTTTAAATTTGGTTGTTAAGCATTGCTAATCTCATGAGATTCTGATATGACTATTTTTTTTAAAAAAGCTGCTAAAACTTAGCTTTGAACTGATCTACAAAATGCCCACAATATTTAGCATTTTAGTTATCGATGATGGTTGTCTGACACAGAGTGTGGGAGTAAATGAAATACTGACACCAGTGGAAACTTTCTGTGTGGGAATAGTTAATGCTGTGTGAGATGTGGCTCTCTTTCCTCTGACATGGTCCTCTGAGGCCCAGTCATACCTATCAACCAGTGCCCTGTAGTCTCAAAGCAGAGGGGAAAGGCCAGCAGAGCCCGGGCGAGCCGGCTGTGTTCCTGACGGAGCCTGTCCTCCAGCTGGTGAAATCCCGCGGCATAGACACAGGTATTACCAGGCGAGATGGGTGTGTGGCCCAAGCTTGCTGAGAAAAGGGGGATAAAGTTGAATTTGCTGTAGGGAAGCTATGTAGAAAGTTAGGAGGGATTGGATTGTTACAAAAAAATAATTGACTTTGGGTTTCACGTCCATTAAAGCCTAATATTAATTTTATTCCACAGGTGAAGAGATGAATGGATCAGAATGAGAGCGGGTCAAAATATTTTCTAGGCAGAATGTAATTTTTTAAGTTATCAATTATTTGGGGAACTATTTAATATTTTGCTAGATAATATAAATCTGCATTCTTTTTCTGTGCCTCCATGGGTGCAGCCTAAATGGTAATGAATGATCCAAAGCTTAAAATCCCTCATCCTTAAGTTAAACATAATGTGAAAATTTAAATATTTTAATGTGATTATTTTATATCAAAATAAATCTAATTCTATAGTTACAAAAATTTGTTTTCTTATTAAGTATACAGATATTTAATTTAAAAATAATTAAACAAAAATTAGATAGGAAAACATAACTAAAAAATTTACCTTATTTTGGTAGAGAGAATATTTATTGAAAAACAAATAATAGTGTATTTATATATTTTATCATTTGAAGATTTTTTAAATCATGTTTCCTCAAATTACAAAGTAATTAAATGGTGAAACATTAAGATATTTCAAGAACCCAAGAACCAAATCTAAGAATTATCTGTTGTTTTTTTTTTAATAGAGTTACCAAAAAGGTTATTTGGGAAAAAATGTTTCCTCTTCTTTAATCATTATTTATTTATATTTCTAGAGGAGTCATTATACATTTTTTGTGGATGTATTGCTTATAAAAGTTAAATACAGGTGAACAATCATAATAATGAATGACTATTAATCAATAAAGAAACTATATATAATATATATACTTGACCTAAACATACATATATCTCTATATATTTGTTTTATATTATATCATAACATATATACATATTTAAAGTATATTTTATTGATTATACTAGTACAGTTGTCCCATTTTTATTTTTAATAGCTGCAGATTAGTTTGGATAAATCATAGTTTGATGTTGGGAAACGCCCTGTCTGGTTTCAGGAAGTGTAACCCCGCCGACAGGCTGGAGGGCCCCAAGACTGAAAGTAATCGGGGCCTTGGAAAAACAGGCCACTGAAGCGACAGAACCAGTGCCCCCTGGCAGGGGTGTAGCTCCTGCCTCTGCTTTGCCATGTGATGATCAGTAATCCGTGATAGGTAAGTTATCTCGAGCTGAGATATCCATCTAAGACAGATATCAATCGAGGTATTGGCAGCAGACAAGGAATTGGGGGACAAGGAGAAAAGGCAAAAAGGCCTGCACCCCTTGGCTAGGCTTGGACGTGGCCGGAGTCCTCATTCTATCCAAAAGAAGTCTCTTCGTCTCTTGGCTGCTCTCTCCTCAAGCCTGGCTCAGGCTCAAAACAATACGGGAGTCAGTCCTAAACCAGACCTGGTGTTCCCAGACAAATCAGGCCTAAAAGTAAATTCTTTAAAGTGTGCTTTGTTCTTCCCTCAAAAGCTATAGCCAGCTCATGCTGGGAAGGAAATTTACATTATTCACAGACCCTAACTGTATAAACTTAGGCACTCTTATGTTTACTATGCTCTCCTGTTTAGTCGTCTCATTGTTTACTAGTTTCCTCTCGGACCCGTGTATAATCGGTGTGTTTCTGACATTTGATTTCTTCAAAACATCACCCATTCTCTGTAAATATTAACACACTGATGTAATGAGATAACCTGTGCATTCCTGTTACCCAACCCCACTCATAACCCTTTCAATAAAAGCCTTTAAACAAAGGGACCCTGGGCCTTCTTCACTAGAGGGATGTGCCGTGTCCCCTCTCCTGGAAAACAAAGTGTTTGCGATGACTCGTGTTTATTACTCCCATTCGTGATACCGTCACTGTAACGGGGCACATCCAGGGCCCCCCCAAAGTGTATTTGTGATGGGATCCAGAGATTGGGGTGTCCAAGAAAAATATATTCTCCCCACCCCAGGGCGGGCCACCATGGGGGATGGGAGCCTTGAGCAGGGCCATTGAGAGTCATTTTGCATGTCAATAACAGGATAGCTTCATTCCTTACATGCAAAAGAATTATTTTGCATATCACCAAGGCTAATCAGGAAGGTTTAAAAGACTTAATGCAGAATGTAACTAGAGAGAGAGGGAGGAGGAGAGACCAAGAGACGGAGTTGGGGAACAGTGTGAAGACCACGTGGGAAGAAAGAAGGGAGAGAGGACTCTTGCTAGTGGGCCAGGAGAGGGTGCCACATGGTTATGGATTAAGAGCTGGAGATCGCGGCGACGCAGTGGATGGTGCTGAGAACTCCGGAGAGGCCTGCCTAGCCGAGCCCCGGACTTCCGCTCTTTTTCTTCTGAAGGACGGTACCCCTGACTGGCCTGACTGGCCTGACTGGCCTAACTGGGCAAAGGCGGAAGACAGGGCTGTGTGTGTGCTGGTGATTGTTTTAAAGGGGTTTTGAGGTTTAAGGGTGACATTTAGCCATTAATCAAACCTGTATAACTTTTGAATAAATAGTTCCTTTCGTTTTCACCAAACTCTGCCATTCAGAGCCATAATTCCAAGGGTGGCGGGCAAAAGGACCTACAACCGAGGGACCCCAGGGAAAGGGGTGTCGTTTCGGTAATAGCATCTGGAATCCTCCACCCCCACTGGTGCATTTGTTTGGTAACACCACGACTGGCTCTGCGGGTTTCAGAGTCCCCAGGCCCATCTCAACTGGCCCTGGGCTCCCATTTTAAGACCACATTTTACTTCTTTTTATATTGCCTACTCACTAAAACTTGTAGTTGTTTTAGTTAATATTGTACACTTGTCCTTTAACCTTTACATTAGAGTTAAGTGGCTAACATACCATTATATTATTTTACATAATTAGGTTTCTAAATCTGTGTATATTTACATGTATTAGTGTGTTGTATATTTTTATATTGCTAATCTCTATTTCTGCTTGAAAACGGCTGTCAACGTATGTTTGCACCTCAGGGGTAGTGATGATGAGCTCCCTTAGGTTTTGTTTGTATGGAAAAGTCTATGTTTCCTTGATTTCTGAAGGATAACCTTGGTAATAGATTATACTTCATTGCATCTTTTTTCTTTCTTCATTTTCAATGATTATATCATGCAAATCTCTCTGGCTTGCAGGGATTTGGCTGAAAAACTCACCAAGATCCTATTGGGAGTTTGTAGGTGGCTTTCCTTTTCTTTTGTTGCTTTAGCATTTTTCCTTTGTCATTGATTTTAGATCATTTTATTATAGTGGATCTCGAGGAAGATTGATTTGGATTAAAGTAATGGAGTGATTTTATTAACCCTATCAACTTAAATGTCCAAGCTTTCCCCAGGTTTAGAGAGTTCTCTACCATTGTTTCATCAATAACTATTCTGTGCCCTCTTATCACACTCCTTCCCCTGGAACCCCAGCGATTGTGATATGGTGTGTTGTGAGTATTCAGGGCCAGAGAGGTTCATCGGAATCGTTAGTATGGAAGAATATTCGTGGAGCTTTCAGAAGGTCTCACATTCCTTTATTCAAGGAGGGACAATCCACGCACGCTGCAAGCTACGTGTCACACTGCATGTCGCCTGTCCCTTCTGCGTAGCACCCAGTGTGGGCCCTTGCAGTCCCCCTCCATATCTATGTCTGCACCCCCAGTGAGAAGGTCCTACCTTCTTAAGTACTAGAAGGAACAAAGCTGACTACAGGGCAAACTGTTAGGTAACATAGCATGATTCTTTGCAAGCGAGCCTGCTGTGAGTTGGAACTCTATCAGACCCAGTCTCAAGACTATGAGACTACTACCTTATCAGATCCCTTCGAGGTGAGAAACTGCTTCCCTTACTTACCAAGACACCTGGGTGAGGAATTCAGACTACCTCCACTTACTCTACAGGTATCCTTTGAAGGCATCCTCAGATCACTTGGGCTTTCTCTCTTTTTCATTCTATTTTGGTTTTTGTTGTTCTCCTCTTGTGTGGTATTTTAAAGTCGCTATCTATAGCTCATGGATAATTTTTTTCTATTTGGTCTATTTTGATATTGACGCTCTCTATGGCAGTTTTCATTTAATTCATAGAATTCTCCAGCTCCAGAATTTGTGTTGGTTTCTATTTATTTCTTTTTCAATTTTCTCATCTTGATGATGAACCGCTGTGGGATATGGTTTTCCTGATTAAGTTGTCTCTGTCTTCTTGTAACACTTCAAGTTTTCTTAATTAGGCAATTTGAAAGCTGTGGTGATTAAATCATAGATTTCACGTCTTTGTGTTGGGTACTGGAAAGTTCTTGTGAACTTTTGATGAGGTCATATTTCTTTGATTTTTCATATTCTTTGGAGTTTGTGTTGCTGGTTTTACATTTGAAGTAGCAGTTACCTCTTCCAATCTTGACTGCCTTCAAAAGAGATGTACCCTTTGTCACTCTTGCTATTAACTCTAAGGCTTACTAAGACCTAGTATCATTTCACTTTCTCCATGTTTTTGTTGCCTCTAGGACAACATCCTTAAGCCTGTTTGTCTTGTATCATACCGTACATACGGTAGGCAGCTTATAGCCTCTTTTGTTTTCTTGAATGGAGTATTACAATTCAAGTTTGTGGTTTCTCCCTTGCCTTGAGACTCTTGAGGGATTTTAAATGCACACCTTGTCTCCCAGAGCTAACATATGCTCCTGTCCTTGGAATGCACACTGAGAGCCATGGTAGAGTGAGGAGGTTTGTTGGGCACATAGTATATCGAGGGTGCCTGTGGTTCCAGTGGGTCTGTGCAAATGTTATTTTTGTATGCAATATTTCATAACAGGAACCAACACACACTTTTCACCGTATACAAAAATTACCATAAAATGGAGTATAGAACTTAATGTAAACTTAAAGTTCTAGAATGAAGCTTAAAAGAAGAAATTTCAACTTCAGCTTAATTTAAAATAAATAAATTTTTTAATACAGAAACATAAAATCGTGGGTGAAATAAAATGACTAAACTTTATCAAATTTTGAATTCTGCCTCACTCAACTTTTAAAACTTCATTCTAAAGACAATATTAAGAGATAAAATATGAGATAAAAGATTGCAAGATAATATTTACAAAACACATGTCTGATAACACAAGAATTCAAGATTAGTAGAGAACTGTCACAATTAATAATAAGAAAACAGAAAACCCCATACAATTAGGCAAAATGTTTCAATCAATACTTTAATATAGGAAATGTATGGTTGACTGAAACATGATAAAGTGTTGTTAGTATTTATTCACTAGGGAAATACAACTTGAAACCACCTTAAATTAGACTACACCCTTGCTGGAACTTTTTTCAAACTGACAATATTGAATTTTGAAAATATACTGAAAATGGAATTTTAATACCTTGCCAATGGTCCAGTCACTTTGCGGAAACAGTTTGGTTGGTCACCTACTAATAAGAAAACTAAGTCTGATGTTAGAACTTGTCAGAGAAAACATACCGCTGTGAGGCCGATCACAAACTCATGTCTCATTCAAGTTACTAGTCTCTCTCCAGTGTACTGTACTGTTTTTCTCTTAAGAAGTGAGAAATCAAACGGAAGCACATACACAGTTCATACAGAAAATACCTTTAATGACTGTTGGCATTAATTCGGAGCCCCAATGAGCATTCAGGCAGTGACTGAAGTTTGCAGGATTACTTGCTAAATCTGCGTGCGTTGCAGGAACAGAGTACACGAAGGCTGCTTCCTGATCTCCATCAGAAGCACTCATACTCTTTTACTTCATCGCCGTGTGCTCATAACCAGGGTAACTTGGCGGTCTTCATGTGAGAGGGGCAGACGTGGAGGGTCTGATGCATTTCATCGTGATGTACCCAATATTCCAGCCTCATCTCAAGCAGAGGCTACGACACTGGTACGGCCCATTTAAAAAACAAGGATGTTCTGAAATGAGACAGAGACTCTAGGATTTCCAACAGTCTGAGTTTTTACAAGGAAAAATTACTGTACTTGTCTTTTGTTGCTGCTTTTTGTTCTCATTATTAGTTAACAAGATGAGCATTCTTCTTTTCACAAACATAGTGTGAGGGTTTGGAACATTCAGAAACGTCTATCTTCCTTGCTGCTATCCTTGCACAG